AGCAGGAAATAACTATGAAATGCTTTCCTGGGCTCTCAGGGGCATGGCAACAGCTCACAAACACCCGTAAGGCGTAAACCCAAGCAGGTGGTTAGCAAAAAGAGGGGGTATCTTCTTAGAGAAGACAAAATTGAGCGAGGAAAACCTGAAGCTGAATGCAACTAATAATGTTTTACCATCGCAGTCTGGTAGGTTGTGAAGTAGCTCTCTCGAGAGGACTGGGGAAAAATCCAGGTATGAGCAGTTTTAAAGCTGGGTTTGAAATGATTAATTAACATGTGTGCAATTAAGATTAGGCAGATGAACTTGTTGACAAGATAGAAATATTTCCACCACCAAAACCTGTAACTCCGATGACCCCTGCACTGCATCTCATGCTATCGCTGACAGGAAGACAAAGTTTTACATTGGAAACTGTGTATTAAAGCAGGAGAGCAACCTTAACGCACTGCTCTGCCCAAGTGTATATGTCTCCACAGAAAGTATATGACAACAGAGAACTAGGTTTATAATCACAGGTGGGAAAGTGACTTGCTGAAGCAAATGAGCCCCTTAGCATCTCCAGAGACCTCCTCACCTGCTTCCATCCCAAATCTCCTTTAGTCCTCTGGAAAGATAAAGATCCAACTCCATGTGTGCTAATGGCTCCTAAGAACATATCCAACTGCTTTGAAAATCTCCTGCTAAATCCCCTTCCAGCTGCAACTGGGAGATCACTTATGGGTGTCCTAAAGCTCCACAAGGAAACCTGGAAGATCAAGGCCCACACAGAGCGGCCCTGCAGGCTGAAACAGAAACTCGTCCCGTGGCTACAGCATCGCACAGGTCTCCCGGGACTGCCTCCGCTCCTAAGAACATATCCAACTGCTTTGAAAATCTCCTGCTAAATCCCCTTCCAGCTGCAACTGGGAGATCACTTATGGGTGTCCTAAAGCTCCACAAGGAAACCTGGAAGATCAAGGCCCACACAGAGCGGCCCTGCAGGCTGAAACAGAAACTCGTCCCGTGGCTACAGCATCGCACAGGTCTCCCGGGACTGCCTCCCCGCTTCCCTTGGGGCAGGAACGCGGCCCCAGCGCTGCCAGCCGTGACGGGGGCTCTGCGGCCGCA